CAAGGCTTTACGCTTTACCGTTAGAGAGAAATTCAAATCGAAACTTGACAAAACGTGAGTGCGTTACCTGCGGACAAGCCCATTAGATAAATTTTATTTTTTATTTTTTCAGATTAAATAAATTTATTTTTCAATTTTTTAGATTATTGAAAAGAATAAATAAAATAGTAAAGTATAACTGTAATTCAATGGAGGTGTCTAGTGAGACTTGACACCCCAACGAATTAGGCCATGTACACACTAGAAAAAGTGAATTAACTTACGGTTGAATTAAGTAATGTAATTGGCCAATTCATATTTAAGTCATCACTTAAATATGAATTGGCCAATTACATTACTTAATTCAACCTTAAGTTAATTCACTTTTTCTAGTCTGTATATGGCCTTAGTTTTTTCATCTTTGGAAAGTCAAGGGGAGGAGGGCGCTAGGTAGCAAAGTTTTGAATGAAATACGATGAAAAACGACATAGTATACGACTGTATACGACCGTTTACGGTGGTCGTATACACGTCGTATTTCGTCGTATACGACACGACCATATACGGCCGTAATTCAGGTGTCAAGTAATACGGCGAAATACGGTCGTATACGATCGTAATGTGCACTGTATACGACCGTTCACGATCGTATACGATCGTTTACGATTGTCGTAATGCTCGTCCTAGGAGAACATTTGAACAGATTTAAATCAGAGAAATAATCTATTGCACGTATTTGATGAACAAGAGGATGTTTCTTTCTTCCAGCGGACTTTTCTATTCTTTTCAAGACTTTTCTTTTCACATGATTTTATTTGCCGAGGTAAATATAAAAACATTTAGATTTATCATATTCACCTGTTTCTTTTTCTTTCCTTCATTTTCATATTCGATATCAAGTTGAGTCAATCTATATGTTTATTCGATTTATTACATTCAGCTATTTCTTTTTCTTTCTTTCATTTTCATATTCGGTATCAAGTTTTTTTTTTTTTTTTGTTTTTTTGGAGTCAAAGCCTTTATTATGATATTAGGAAGAAGAAACAAGAAAAAAGAGATGATATATACAAAAGGCTGGAAAAACCAACGGAGAGATGCATGACGAATGTCTTTTGTCTCATGAAACATGTTTATACGTTGTGTTTAGTTTTAACGTTGTGCGTGATGCAAACTTCTAGTATGCGAATCCGATATAACAATTTTTACATGGATTCTGTCGATTCATCAGTGATCTATAATAACGATGTATATTTTATATATAATAGGTAGGTGATTTGTTTTTCATATTTGATTGAATATTTCTTCTACGTTGTTTTTCAGTACGTTGTCGTTGTTTGATGTTGCAGTTTGAATATATCGTTGGAGTAGTGTAGTAGCATATTCTTTTATTTTCGTAACATTGCTAATTTTATGTATATATTCAACTGATGTATATATGGGTAAACCTAAAGCAGCACGAATGGCTTTGTTTTGCATAATTTGTAATCTTTCCCATATTTTATCATTTGCTGTAAGCAGAATTGGATAACCGTATATTATCAAAGTTCTTGCTATTGATTTGAATATATTCAACATTATTTTGTCGTTTGGTTCGTATGCTGTTCTATTTAAAAATCTAAGCAGACTGATAGGACCTGCAATCTTCGATTCCATATGGTGAATATGACTGCTCCAATTTAATCTTTTGTCGATGATAATTCCTAGATATCTTGTTGAATCTGATGGTTTAATGATTGTATCTTCTATTTTAACGTTGATTGGATTTTTAAAAGTTCTTCTTGGATGGACAGTAAAATGCACCAATTCAGTTTTTGTTGGTTGTAATTTTAATTTCCATGATTTACACAAGCTTTCGAATGCATCTATGGATTGTTGTAATCTACTATTTAGGCTTGTTGTTGTGTTTGACGATGTCCATAGTGCAGTATCATCGGCAAATAAACCATGTTCTGTATGATCTGGTATTGCATTCATTGAATCTGCCGTGTATATAATATAGAGTAAAGGTGATAATGGAGATCCTTGTGGAGTACCGCTATTTAAGTTGAATGGTTTTGATAAGTTGTTTTCAATTTCTATTGAAGCTACTCGATTTTGTAAAAATGACCTGAGGTAATTCATTACATATTGTGGAAGACGTAATTCATTTAATTTGTATATCAACCCATCATGCCATACTGAATCAAAAGCAGCTTTGATATCAAATAATATGACAGCTGCATGACATCGACGACCAGTTCCATATACGTGATGTTTTGTATATTTGGCTAGCCTTATGATATTATTTAAGGTGCTTTTTTTAGGTCGGAAATCTGCTTGATGTTCTGGCAAGATGTTTCGTTGTTCCAGTATAACCATCAGCCGTTGCTTCATTATTTTCTCCAGTAGTTTGCCGAGGCAACTAAGGAGACTTATTGGACGGTAACTTGAAGGCTGTTGCTTATCTTTATTAGGCTTTAATAACAATATAATATTAGCCTTTTTCCATCCATTTGGGATATATCCAATATTTAAAATAGAGTTAAATAATTTAGTTAAATGTTGAATAAATAATTCCGTGTAATTCTTTAAACATCTGTTATGAATGTTGTCAGGACCACAGGAACTATTACGAAGTTGTTTAATATTCCATTTAACTTCTTTAATTGTGATCTTCTTCCACTTGTTTAGTTTCGTGTTAGAAGATCTGTTTTTGATGTTGTACATTTGCCTTGTAAGTTGCTGATGAAATGGTATTGTGTCAGGTGGTTTGACATAGACTTCATTTTGGAAATAATCAGCAAATAGGTCGGCTTTTCCTTGCCTGATGTTGCTATAACGTCGTTGTATTTGATGTTATTAACGTGGGTTTGTTTGATTCGCTTATTGTGAAACTTGCGAACTGTCAGCCATACTGAGTCTGAATACATTTTCTTTTGGCATAGTGATGACATAAGTTTGTTAAAGTTGTTTTTTCTGTCATTTCTAAGTGAATTAGTTAGTAGCAGCTTGTATTTATAATATTGTTGTTTTTCACTATCTTCTCCAGTTTTCTTCCATTTACGATAAGTTTTGTGTTTGAGCTGGATCAGATGCTTGGTTGCTTCACTTAATTTAATGTTTGTATTAAGTTGTTTCGATGTTGGTATGGCTTCTTGTGTTGCTGAAGTAATGCTGTTGGTAATGAACGATGTATATTCTTCTATATCTAATGCTGAATTGATGAGACGATTATTGTTCCATAGCATTAGTTGTTCATTTAATTTACTTCTGAATTTTGGCCAATTCGCTGCTTTGAAGTTGAGGGATAATCTTGGAGATGGTGGTTTTGGTTCAACTCCAATTGGGATATCGAAGGTTAATGGTTTATGGCCATTTAATGTACCAATTGTTGGATGTGTTTCGAC